AGTACTGATTACTGCAATCTTTAATATTACTTTCACAATTGCCTAAATCAATTCTTTTGTGTGTTGCCCAGCTGCAAGGACCTCAAAAAACCCAATATAACAGTTGAAAATTAATCACTTGAACGCTCTAGACCACAGAAATATAATTGTATCTTCACTAACATGCTGTGTGAATGAGGTTGACAGACTGATGTATGCTTTCTCCTTTTGCATAACCTCTTGTAATACAACATTAGTTTAAATATATATCTTTCCATCATCTCAGTGTTGAGATCTACCTCTCCTATTTCAGCCACATACCTTTTTTTACCTGTCAATCTTAATAAGCCAAACCCATCCTCTCTAATCATATCTCCTTCGCAGACTGATCCAATACCAGCCCTACAGCCCCTGCCTCTTAAGGTACCAAGTCAAGTCTGTGGCTGAAGTTACAGATTTCATTACTGAGTCTTTTGTCTCCTTTGCCTCTCAAAGGCTTCTGCGGAGCTAGTCAAAACTGACCTCTGGAAACAGATGTTCTATAATTCTACAACTGAAATTTCAAAAATAGAGGCTGAGGTATGATTTATAAGTTTTTACCTCAATACCATTTCAAAAAAAATCAGGGGTGTTCCTTTTCTTTTCACATCCTCAGGCAAGACACTACTACTAATCTTCAGGCCAAATTTTCTTTGTCTCCCAACAGACAACACTTTTGTAGGAGAAATTATTCAAGGGGCCTTGTCAGCTCTTTTTATGTTTGTTGCTGGTTTTTCATTACACAAAGAGGACTTCTTTATAAAACAGCAAGGATTATCATCCTTCTGGCATTTCTTCCCATGCCCAATTTTTCATTCTGGAACACTTGCCTCTTAAGCAAGAATAAGCAACTGCTGCATAGTCTTTTCATTGAAAGCTAAAGAATACCTCTTGGTTATGGAGCAGTTCTGCTTGCTTTTACTATGGCAGAGGATCTACTCTTAAAAGCCACCAAAACATGTAGAATAAAACAGATTACTCTGCCCATGTTATACTGTTGGTTCAAAAATAGGTATATATAAAAAAAAATAAATAAAAAGTAATGCAGACAGAGATAATGTATATTAGTATAACTGTTGCTCTGCACAATCTTTTTCTTTTTGAGATGCCTTCTTACCTTATACATATGAGTAGCTACGATTCACCTTTTAAAGGAGAAAAAAACCCCAGCATGATTGATTTGTCTATCAATTTTGTAAATATATTTGTTGACTAGAGCTAGGCATACAGCAAAAACATGATTGAATTTTAAAAACAATTAGCTTTTGTTCTCTTCATATCACTTTGATATTAATTTTCAAAATGCCTCCAAGCAGGTGGGAAGCATGGAGATGTTCCAGTGCACGTTAAGCTTGCATACTTACGCAGTTGTACTTCATTTCCTTCTTCTAGTACCGTAGCTGGAGAAAGTAACCAAAGCAACCTCAGGAGTTAACATATACAGACAGTGCTTCAAAATTAATTTCTAAAGTGCTAGATGAGCAGTAGTCTGTCTTCTTGGTTTAATGACTTTTTCTCCCCTTTCAAAGTTCAACTGTGTGTCTTCGGCTAAAGCATACAGCAAGTGCATTTACAGCACTACTGATAAATCACTGAAGATAAAAACACTGTGATTGTGGACAGTGTCAATAGTACGTACTGGAGTGATGAAATTCCACTGCTCCATCAAGTATTATCTGTGATCTGACAATTACAGAGATGATGTACCTGTATAAGGTCAGCTGAAATTACTCCTGGATCTTCCAAGCAGTGCTTGCTGTCCTATTCACATTCTTATCACTGCAATCCACTACTAATTTTAGAAAAAAACGATGCACTTCTGGAAACTACAAGCACATGCTTTGCCTTTTTTTTTCTCTTTCATGTTTTTCCCATTGCTTCAGGTTATAAACCAACAGGAAAACGTGACAGCAATGCACTATATATCTTTGTTTATGCTTTCAGTTGCATCAAGAACTATAAAGGCACAGTCCCAAAAAGGCACTAATAAGTACTGGAAGTGGTAACTAACCCAACTCAGTGGAACAGAACTCTGAAGACTTGGACTGTACTCACATTCTGCTAGTAGCAAATTTGAGATTTCCTGAGAAAAACTACTACACATTCTGGCATTTACAAATATATAATCAAGAGATCTAATGGATCTGCCATTAAAGAACAATTGTTTATCTACAGCATTATCATTAAGAAGTAATAGTTTCCTGCTTACGCTTACTTCTCAGCAAAACTCCGTCATGACTTTATTTTTTCTTTTTAAAATACTGTTAAATCCATTATTTCTGCACTGATGTTTCATATGCAGCATGTACCAAACACCTTAGATCAGCACCAGGAACAGGAGGGTACCATATCTTTCCACTCATTTTTCTCAGTTATGGTTTCTTGATTCAGTGCCAGCTGATACTCCACTGACAATTATTGTCAAGATTATGTCCTACTAGTCTGTACCTTTAAAACTAGGGAGTATGTACCCAAAATAGCACAAAGTGCAAAGGCAATACACCTTTTACCATGAGAAGCAAGGCTGTTATCTCCAAATTAAGTGATAAGAACTAGCTTGTACTCCTACTCCCATATTGTCTGTAGGGTGGGTGGTGAGCCACCATGTTTCCTTCACCTCGGTTCCTCTAATCTCTATCTGGATCACCACGGTAGCCACTGGAGCCAGATGCAGCCATTGTAGACATGAACTACTATGTACCTACTGTAGATGTCTGAAAGACTACAATGGAGAACAAGCTAATGTGACATCCCTGACATACCCAAACTAATGTAATATTTCAGTTACTTCATGTCATTTATGCAGTCATAGAAGCTGGAAAAAAGACTTGAACCCACCTCTTTCAATTAGCATCACATACAGATATGTTCTGCTATTCAGGATAGGATTTTTCCGCTAACTTTCACCATCCGGCTTATTGCCGAGAATTCCTTTTTGGAAAATGCTGAGAAACATCTCTTTTTCATTTGTGTAAAGTATTATCAGAAAACATGTAGCAAAATGAAATTTAGTTTACTGTTCTTACCCCTCGTATACCATGATCCCTAATTTTGTACTGTTCCAGGAACCAGGGCTCTACTTGTGAAGATTTACGTCCAGCATACATTCCATCAGCAGAAAACAAACTTGCAGATAATGCCATTTCTTGAAGAGATGATTGACTAACTGCCAAAAACCCATGAACTTTTCTTTGAATTCATGACAGTGACAGAGAAAAACTCAGTCTATTTTAGCTTGCTGCTAGAAAAATACTCATTTTTTTTTTCCAGTTGTTCAAAGAACTTAAGTCCTAATTTCAGGTAAAATCACACATCCACTCTAATCCAGTCACTATACAGAAATACTCTGGGTGAAATTTTAGTCTCCTTAGCACTAGAGATTGCTTTCACATTGCCTTCAGCAGAGAGAGTTGTATTCTTGAAACTTGAGTTTCAGATCTCCTAGAAAGAAATTCTGACAGCTGTCATTTCTTGACAAACAGCTGGGCAAATTTATGTGATTTTTAGCAAATAGTAGATAAAGCCATCAGGCTGACAAGTTGCATTACACATAAGGCTTGTGTGTGATAGAAATTGCTAAGAATAAATTCCCAGAGATGATAATAGACTTACCTGTCCAGAGCCAAATCTAACTTAACAAAAGGTGAAGAAGATGCCCTCACAAGGCCCCCAATCAATTTTTACAAAATTAAGTTATTAATGCTCAAATACTCACCGGAAACACTAGTTGTGTAAAAGTAGGTATATATGTGCTAGGAGCACAAAAACCACACACTGATGTATGCACACACAAATGTTTTTTAAAAGTATACTTAAAAATCTCTGAAGGGAAACTATTAGAAAAGAACTGACCTACTGTTAGTTCCCATTCAACCTGCAGTGTAGGCATTATCTAAAAGGTTTATGCTCACAAAACTAGAAACACATGCTTGTATGCTTATTATCACCTGTAGAAAATCAGAAAATAATGCTCTTATGCAGTTGAAACGAGCATGGTTCTTATTTTGTACGCTACCACTTAAGCACGAATTACAGGATCCAGTGAAAACCATAATCTAGCAGTTACTGCTCTAACTATACAGTATGTAAAAACTGTTGTGAGAGCTTGTTTCATTTCACTGTCACAGCAGGCTATGTTAGAAATGCAAACAGAATATTTATTTTAAAATAAACCTAACACTATCATCAGCCACTGAAAAACATGGAAACAATAGGTTCTTTGTATTTGTAGCACTTGAGATCCACTTCCATCTTACAGGGAGAGCACACAGACAAGGCAAAACACTCATGGTGTTTCTCCCAGCAGCCTCAGTGTCTAATAGATTTGCTGGATGATTTCACCACATTAGCTGGTGTCTCAAGGGCAGCCTGAGGCTCACACATCGGAAGTCTCATGCATTTTTAAAACAGAAATATACAGGGGTAGAAGGTGAGGACTGACAGGTTTCCAAGGTATAACTGTAATGCAAATACACATAGTAACTGTTCTCTAAAGCAAGCATATATTTCCTACGTCAGCCAACAGGGTTGTATCTTGTTCACCACCTGCAAGCTTGAAAAATCATGTGAAACACTTGTTAAAACATGACTGTGCACCTTCCCGTCCCTCTTTTTACTGCGTAACTACCCAAAACACAGTACAGATATTAAGCAGCCTTGCTTATAATGGTTAGCTCCTGTCTTGCAGCTTAGATGAACACCAGCTCCCATCTCTGACCATGTCTTGTTTTCTGCTTTACAGTGGAGTATTTTTTTGGCAATTCCTAAAGCTACTTTTGCTTTGGATATTTATAACATGACCCTTAGATTTCTAGATAGATAATAAAATGCAACAATAATGAATAAACAAAAACACTTACACTGGCAAGTTAGGCTGCACATACCACATCTTTATAGCAACCTTTTAATAAAGCCTAGGCAATACACATTTACATGAGTGAAGACCTGTTTAAAACAAAAATCTAAAAAGTATAAATTCTTACCCTAAAAAACTCTTTAGTGGAGCCAGAATCTAATGTTCCATAAGCAATTTCTGTTTGCTTGGAAAGATCCTCTGCACTTTCAATGGGAGACACCATCCTCTCAACCGTCAGGAAGGCAGCTAAGTTAGCCGTGTAGGATGAGATTATGATGAGGGTAAAGAACCACCACACACCTCCAACAATGCGCCCAGACAGGGATCTAATAACAAGTATGAAATGGATTTGTAAAGTGAAATGAAAGTCCTAAAACGGAACACAGGTTATCAGTCATATGCAAATGCTGCATTATACTACATACAGGGAAGCATTTCAGGCTACTTCAAAGCGCAGCTCTGCATACTAATCAGATGGGAAACCAAGGCATATTCCACTCTATCTCCTGGACTTTGCTGAAATCAAGACTTCAGAGTTTACTTTAGGGAGAATTTAGTGATCCAGTTCTTCCAGGTTCTGAACACCCCAAAAGGAAACTGCTCCTATCATGATGTGCTATATTTAACACATAAGCTTGTCGTTCCCTCTGAACGTGGAGAACTCTGAAGTGAATTTGTGTGACACTATGAAGAGCATCAAACAAAATCAGTGAACCAGTGCTTTCGGATAAACCAGTATGCACTTGATTTTTAAGTGCCTCGAGCTTGCTTATTTTCCTAAGATATTCAGACCAAGACTTATTTCTACAAAACAATGGCTTATGCTGCTGTGGAAAATCTCTACTGAGAAACAAATAGCATTATTTGAAATAAAAACTGGCCCAGGGAATATCCACAAATTAAAAAGTACACACAACTTTTGAAAGATATAAGCATTTAACAAATTGAGGACTAGTAATGAAACAATCAGTGATAATACAGAAAAATGGTGGAGAAAGCATATTTTAAAATAATAATAATCTGATGTTTTTAACTGTAGCAGGTGGGTTCTTATGGATCTTTGTTTTGCATCTCCTGCTCAAGAAGAGAGAAAAAAGAAGAGAACTCAAGAAAATATATAAAACAGTACAGAACACACAACTAGTGAAATTCACTCACTTTCAATGCTAGAAAACTAATAGAAATGCATTATCAATATAGGTATTACTCTCAAAATTGACCTTTTTCTAATGACCCTTTAAACTTTGAAATTACTTACTACTTTGTTTCCAAACAAGACAGTATAGTAAGGAGTACATAAACCTTGGAGATGTGCTTAATTATTTGGCAGAAACAGGTGTGCAGTTGAAATCTAGTACTAAGGCACTGCAGTAGTTTAGGTATGTCCTGATGCCTGTCCTCTATCTAGGAAGTGAACAAATTACAAATAACTCACCCAGCCTACAGTACTGTGAATGAGACTTCCAACTAATTCTGACACAATATTTATATATAGATAGATATGACTACATGTGTACACATTTAAACATGGTAGTTACAAAAACCAGATTTATTAAACTGGGAACAAAAACAAAGACAACCAATTCTGGGCAATTTAGTTTTCCTAATTGCTATTGTATAAAATCTGTTTTAACTTAGACATTAAATGATTTATTCCATGTCACAAGAGACTCACTAATTTGGTCTAAAACACTAAAATCAAGCCTGATAAGGTCCAGAATGTTATTAAAATGGACCACAGGAAAGAAATTACTTCGAGTTCCTTCTAAATTGAGATGTATTCTGTAAACATGCTTTCTGTAATTTTTGAAAAAATATTGCATACTTATTTGGACATGGACATAATCTGAGAATTTCTGAAATTATAAGATTGAATTATATGATATACATGTATTTGCTACGTAAAAATCTCTGACAATGTTTATTTAGTAACTGCAGATTTTAAGGCACTTCATATTGTATTGATGACACCTGCTAAAATGATAATAATCTTCAAAAGCCTCTCTCAGCAAAGTTGTCACTGGCTTTTCAAAGAAGAAAGAAAACTCAATGCCAATCCAGACATTATTTTCCCACATGACATTTTATATTTTTTTTGAGTAAAGTAAAATTTTGAGTGTCATCTGTATTCAAAATTTTCCCATAAGTTCTGTCCCAGTTAAATAAATGAATTTTTGAAGTACATTTTGAAGAGTTTCTAAAGACTGATAGTTATCCAGCAGTATAAATCCACACTTCACAAGCACCTCATTCATCAGATCATTAAATACTAAAATAACAATTTCTGTGCACACTTATCTAAACTTGGGCACATTTCATACTTAAAAAGGTATTCTATGGCAGAACTGAGACTATATTCATATCTCAAAAATGATGAGGAAAAGTTTGCTATGTTATCATTATCATAAAATATATTATTCTGTTCTTTCTACTCTATTGTTTCTGTGCTACCCATGATGGCAGCATGGGTATTTCTATTGCATACCAGTTTCCAGGTAGTCCAGTGTTACTTAGCACCACCTTCTAATTCAGGTTTAGGAAGCTCTAGTTAGTTATCTGTTCTAAAATTCTTACACTAGTTGTCATTTCTATTACAAAAGTAGTAGCAATATTGAAAAATTGTACTTCACAAAGATATTTTGCTGATCTCTGAATATATTCCTTTTCATGTCTACTCTGATTTGTTTGCAGGGATTTCAAATTCTATAGTGATATAGGTGGTGCAAGAACAAAAATAACTGAGATATTTTCAGCTCTTTTCTATTTTTATAGTAAACAGAAAATGTACAAACTTCTTCCTTCAAAAATGTTTCTAATGAAATAAAGTACTGTTAAACACTTCACTGAAACTAGATTTTGAATCCCAAAAATGATTTGAGTTTCACGCATTTGTTAAGATGACTATTTACTACAATTATTCTTGCATCACCTTTCAAAAGTTATCAAATGCACAACTGTCAAATAATAATAAAAAAAGACAGTATTCTACTATGGCCTTGATTCAATGAAAGTATTTTGTAGCTAACAGGGGACTGTCAGACAACTAAACCTGTAAAGTACCTAAGGGAGACAAAAACCCTACAGGACTGATATTGACACAGTTTCACATACCCCGAAACAATCTGTCCTCTCTTTACTGTCTCATTTCTTTTAAACAATTCTTGCTGTGTCAGATACCAAATCCATTGCATCTTTCACCAAAAAAAGCTGGCATAACTCTCTGTGATAGGCCAGCCTTTACACAAAATTGCTAAACTTCTCACACAAAACACGTTCTTCTATTTGGGCAGTAGAACAACTTGAAAAGCTGCTGTTGTCTCTTGGGATGCATGAGAAAAGCTCCCCTGGTGTGATTTATTTTGCACAGCAACCACTAGACTCAACAGAAATGGACCTGTCCCCTGTTGTACTTTAGGATGCTTAGAAGAAAGTTAAGTTGCTTAGTACAGTAAGGAAGGTCTTCTGATTTGATTTCCTTAAATCTAGTTGACCTATTTCACTTGTTACTATAGTTCCTTCAAGTACCAAGTAGTTATTTACCTACCCACTTACACTTTGCTGAATGAAGGCTAGAATCACTTGTGCTCAGGGGAAATAGAGTATTTAATGAGCTGCCAAGGAATTAACTTAAGTGCTTTACAGTTGTCCCTAATAAAGCAGGTGAAAATCCCCAAAGAATTAAGCATTTATGAACTGCACCTTCAAATTCATTTTAGTGATTTCCTTTGTGACTTTTCTGTAACTAGGCCATGGAAAAACAGCAGTGTTTTGCAACTATTCTCACGAAGCTAGAGCCATCACATGACCTTTATTTCAGTTTAAGGCTTTCTTGTAGAAAAAAAGTGGGTTAATAACTGTGTTGTGCTATGTAGTAAGTTTAAGAGGGAAAGTGCTGCCTGTGTAGTTTGTGACTAGCATGTTACCCTTTTTCCCATTACAGTTGTTGTGAACCATATGCACCGTCAACTGTAAAATGGGAATATGCAGCAAAAACACGGTACCCCTCCAAGAAGGCATGGAATGACTTGAACCTTATGCATTTTACAGTCTCTGCATGGTGTATATAACTTCACTTGGCAAATGTATGATCAATCAAGTACATCATGACCCTATGTCACAGACAGCTGCTTTTATTGCAAGGACTTCTGTGATTTTAGGCATGGAAAAAACAGAGCCATTTCTTTCAGAGTGAAAATATATGCACCATGCACCTCCTCTGGCTGAGCTGGCTGAGACCAAAAATGCACAAAGTTGAAATGGGTGAGTAACCAACCTTGGCGAAATATCGCATCCTTGCTGCATAAAGGCACCCAGGGAAAACCAGAGACTATTAAATATCCCAAATTCATTAGTTGACTCATTAGTTTGCGTTTCTCTTCCATCTTCAAATTCCTCAGTGTGCCACTCGTATGGGCTAAATCTGCTGACCAGGAATAAAACTACACTGACCCCAATGTAGGCAAAAACAATGCACATCCAGATCTCATATGCTAATGGATCAAGAAATGAAAACACTCCTGGCTTGGACTTCTGAGGCTTCTTGATCATTATTGATATCCCCAGGCTCATAAAGGGCTTTGAGAAGTCAATCACCTCTTCTCTCACCAACGTTATAGTTAAGGGAGCAATTGCAATATCGGCCTTCTGTAAAGGAAGGAAAAAAAAAAAGCAAATCATAGCTAATACAACGACCAGAATAGGTTGGTTTCTATTGCATTTCATAAATGGAAAACAGGACAGCAGAGATGCTGGCAATGTTAACTTCACCAATAACATCTTATGGACCATTTCAGAAATTTTTAGTTAAAACTCATCCTACTGAAATACACACAACCATATACTTTGCATATTACAAGTTTCCACTTTTACACATGCCCTTTTAAATGGGTATGACATGTAGAAGTGTTAGTAAAGTATATTGCCTTTCACCTGGCAAGAAGGATGGAATATGCCCTCACTTCCCCAACTTCATTTGCTTTTAAAATCTAATTCCATATTTTATTTTCAAAATTCTTCTAGTCAACACAAATTACTAATTCTCTAGCAAAGGAATTAGATAATTTTCCCCTACCTACTCTAGAGAAAACTAAACCAAATCCCACTCATTCTATCAGTCATCTTTAATGGCTTTAAGATAAAATATTTTCTTACCCCATAAACAAGTTCTCCAACCATCCCATTCCAGATTTTCGTGTCTGCATCCCTTGCCCCATACTTGCCATCCCCAACAATTGTGAGCTTATATTTGAATCCACAGTGTTTAGCAATTTCTGTAGCTAAGTCCACACAATAGCCCTCATATCGATCGTTTCCTTCAAGCATTTCATGATTTTTCTTCATCATGACGTAGGGGGACTCCTGCACAGAAAGCATTTGTCTTAGCTATTTGGTAAAGAGACAGATCTACCAGTTGGGCATTTCATAGATCAATATGTTGCCTCTTACACATAAAAAAAAGAGAGAAGATAACATCTGAATCATACACGCTAAGTACATGTTAGCTGTTAATTATTAATGTGGCATGTCCTTAACACATTTAAAAGTTGCATTCTTTACATACATCAAGTAACAATACTTACAGGTACAGCGACTCCCAGCAGTATGTTAACAATGACCATGAATGTTAGAAGGAGTTATGCATTCAAAGAAGAAAGAGTAAGTTCCAAAATCTGTTTCTTTCTCTCATACAGTTTGGATGAAAGTTGCTGTTGTCTTAACGCAAGAAAATTCTTTCCGATTTCACAACCACATCCCTTCCTGGGAAAACACTTCAGGCTCTCCAGGCTGTATCTTTATTGAATTACTACACAAACAATAGGTAAGATCCCTCTAATCACACAGTAAAGTTCTATCATCAGCAAAACTGGTGATGAGTGGTAACTCATACTAACCTATCTCCTTTCTGCTCAGTTGCTACTGAACTTGCTTCCAGTGATATTCCTATGCTAGCCTGTTACTTGTCCAAGCTGATAAAAGAAGCTGTGCAACTTACAGAAAAATGCTGTTCTGTAACAGTTCATAACATTGTTTTCTAGACAACTAGAATACAACTTTTAATGTTTCATTTTACACTTCACCAATCCATAACAGCTACATTTCTGAAACGTAAGAACCAATCTCTTTGCTGTTTGGCAAAATCCACTCCCTGAAAATAACACTATAGTTTTGCCTCCCAGATAAAGTTCCGCTCCTTTGAAAGCAGGTATTTCAATTTCATTTTCAGGTCTAAAACCTTTAAGTTTCCAAGATGTTCAGTTAATGACTTTGTCTTCTAAAGAACAAACGCACATACCGAATCGCATGCATTTCCTTAATTTGCAGATTTTATTGATGTATCATGTGCAACAGGTCACAACCTCAAATAATAAAGAGGCAGTGTCTTTAAACTAACATAATGATGAGAAACAAATCACTGAAGGACAGACTGTCTTCTGACAAAATATGAGATTAATTACCAAAATAGTGGTGACAATAATAGTCTTATTCTCTAGTCCTGAAGATTCATTTCCAAGAGGTCCATCAAGAGGATTCACAACCATTTTGTCCACTTCACTCCAATATCCAATCTAAAGAGAGTTTATAGGATGCACAGACACCAGTGAACATGAACTTTCATAGAAAAGGTAAAGCATATTATTACTATGCCCTTGATTTATGCTCACAGAGAGCTATTTTAGCTATGCATTTACCAGTGTAAATATTTCTATTTATGTAGCTGAAGACTACAACAAATAGTAAAAATATTGAACTAATGACATCTGCTCATTTTAATTTATGTAATACAGGCATATATTTTCAATCACATATTAACAGGTTCTAGTATCAACACCACACACTGTAGGATTGAATGGGTTATAAAATACTCCAGATTACACAGACATGAGAAAATGGCTTTTCCTGAAAGGTTTGGAATTAGAGCAGAAAGATCATCACAATTAAAAAAAGCACCATTGGGAAGCTGTATTCTGCATTTGTCATTCAGAAGGGTATTTCCTCAAATACTGGCTCATATTTGGCAATTCAGATCAGAAAGCAAAAAAGTTTAACACACAAAACAAGGAAAACACTCTTCTGTAGTACTTACCATAAACAACTACTCATATTTGTTAAAAATATTTTTACTTTGTTCTGCAAGACCATTATGGAATACACCTATGAATAAATACTATCACAACTCATGCTTTAATTAATTTATAGTGTTTCATTACCTACCTTAACTGGTTACTTAGCATGGTAAAACCTTTAAAGATACTTAACACAATTCAAATTACCTTCCGAGGACCAGTACTTTTCAGTTCCATGACGTTTATTGTAAAATTGATTCTCTTTCCATTCTGATCAAACTTTATATTCCCTGTTAGACCTTCCACCTGAACCTATACAGACGAAGACGAAAGTGGTAGAACTGTTTGTTCCTTTTTAGAAAAAGGCATTTTGTATTTCCATAAGTGATTATTGATATTTCAGAAACATTCACTTTAGACTTTTCCATAAACAATGCATTATCTTAGTATGAGACATGTTCCTGAGGATTTAATTTCCACATTATTCCCTGCAAGATCCAGGCAGGTTAGGAGACTGGATGGTTCTTTTCAAGCATTTAGAGAATTTCAAACATGCATTCATCCCAGCATTCACTCCAGGGAAGCTACCTGTTTCAATGCCCTTTCTATTTCTACACCATGACCCCAGGGTACAGCTGGATTTGCAAGACAATCTCCAGCATTTCCTCTTCTGGAGATCTCAATCCTCTGTTTACGCAAATTACGGAAAGCTTCTGTCATAACTTGGACAGCATCATAGGTCAGAGCAGATGTATACTGAAAAGAAGTGAAAATATTTTATTAAAACCCAGCTTCAGCTTCAGTACACCTTCCAATACACTTGTTAATGTATTAAACATGGAAACATATTAAAAGTAAAAAGGACAGTAAGGTATACTTGAAATGAGACAAGTTTTTCTTTGGAGGTCACTAACCTCTGAGAGTTATCTATGCAAATTAAAGTAGTGTTCTACATCAGAATGGTCAGGGCAGTGCTAGTAAGTCTAAACTGAAGATTTTCAGTGTGAATTAGAATAATTTCTCACTAAGCTGTATAGCACTGTGTGCAAATATAGCTGGAAGTCTTTGGAGGTCAAAGGGGAAAAAAGAAAAGGATTTCCACTATTGATTTAGCCCCTAAAAATCAGTAATTGTTCCTCTGATTACACTCTTCACAGAGACGCATTCATAGATCTCTAGACTACAACTCCTCCCATATACACACACAAAACCAAACACCATATATTTGTATATATGTGTGCTTAACTTTTATCTGCTCAATACAAAAACTTAAAGGGTAGCTATTTTCAACTATGCAATACCTCGTCAACTTTGTGCAAAAACAGGTTTTGGGCTGAGATGTCTGGAAGAAGGGGTGCTGCTTGAAAACAAATATAGGTGAAGAAGAGCCCCATGTTCCTAATCTGACACAACATAAGGAGCCTTACAGCTTTTGAGGCATCAGAGAAGAACTCTGTCATCATATGCACCAAAAGCTGGGGCTAAACAGGCAAACACAGTTACCTTCAGCAACTGGAAAATTTTACACCTTAACTAACTGAATAGAAACCACACGTGCTCATACACTGAGGACTTTGTTGGATGGGCTTTATGAGTCCAGAATGTTGCAGTTATGCCAAATATAAGGGACATTTTTGGAAATATGAGCCAGAATATAACTACTTATAGCCTTATGAATGAATGCAATGATCCCTGTGAAGGCTATTAGACGCTGAAAATATATAAACTGTAAAGCAGAGAAAAATGATATATTGGCTCTTTGCTTCAATGGCTCAAAGTTTAATGTGAGTTTTAATTAGCTAGCTCAAGTCAGGCAGAAGGTTCTTGTAATTGTAACCAAAGCAGGTTCCTGAATTAAGGTAATTTTTGTATGCAACTTTTAGACCTTGGAGAGAGAGAAAAGGAAGGTGGAACTCTTTTTTTCAGATGTGTAAGTTACTGGGTGATTAATGTGAACCTTCTCAGGAAAGTTCTATCAGTGACTTGTGCAGAAATTGTTACAGGGATCACAACAGCAGAAGAATTATGTGAAAGACTGGTTGGAGCCAATAGTACTTTCTCCTGCTGGAGTAGCAGTGATTAAGTGCTGGATATGGATTTAAAGATGAGGAGAATGTAACAGAGAGAAGAGAAAGGACCCCAACTCATTATTTTGAGACTGACTAGCAGCATAGAGCAGTACAGAAACACATTGTACCACACTAGTGTTTTGAGAAATTTTGGATACAGCACTATCAATTAACCACTGAAATACACTTTTGAGTAGCAGAGAAAATAAGAGCTTGAAATTGAGACGTTACAGTGCTATCTAATTCAGTTATTCATTGTTTCATCTGATTGTTGGGATATGCTCAATTTATTATCTCAAGGGTATATCCCTCTGGTATATAATTACTGGTGTGAATATTCACAACTCAGAAATATATTCAGTTTGTGTAGGGTTTGCCTATCTAGGTAACTGTATGTGTATAACATTACACGTATAAAATCAAGACACCTTAATTTAGGTTAAATCAGTTTTAATCTACAGATCTCAAAATATTTCACAAGCATTCTAACACCTTTATGCTGCTGGAGATGCCATGACAGCAAACAGCTCACGCATCTTTTCTTACTGCTTTAGTCACACACTTTCAGCTCTTAATAACCTTCATGGAGCTCACTGAAACTATCCATAGCTTAAACAAGAGATGTAAAGTTGACAAAATAAAACAAAGTGAAGTTACTAGCCTATACAAGAAGTGACAGACAGATAACCTGCTCATAGAATCATAGAATGTCTGGGCTGAAAATGACCTCCAAAGGTCATCTAGTCCAACCCCCCTGCCATAAGCAGGGACATTTCCAGCTATATCAAGCTACTCAGAGCTTCATCCAGCCTGATCTTGAATGTCCCCAGGGATGGGGCCTCCACCATCTGTCTGGGCAATCTGTTCCAGGGATCTATCACCCTCATACTGAAGAACTTTTTCCTAATGTCTAACCTAAATCTACCCTTTTCTAGCTTAAAGCCATTACCCTTCATCCTGTCACTACAAACCCTTGTAAAGAGTCCCTCCTCTGCTTTCTTGTAGGCCCCTCTCAGGTATTCGAAGGCTGCTATA